GAAAAATAAATAAATAAATAAATTCATGCCACTCCCATTTTATGTTTTTTCCCCTTGCAGTGGATCTACAACATTTTCCTTTCCGTTTATAAATGACGACTTAGGAAAGGATAGCAAAGACAGAAATATCAAGGGATATGAAATGAATATGAAATGATAACAAAGATATTCTAAGAGTGGAAATTGGTGCAGTCTACTGGCTAAGCACGTGATCCAGGAACTCAAAAGTCCTTGGTTCAAATCCCACTGCAGCTCATTAGTGGGCCTTAGGAAAGACAACCTTTCTCCTGTAATACAAAGAAAGTGTTTACTGTCCTTTTTCGCTAGACTCTTGCAGGATTACTGAAATACTTTAATAAAAATGCTCTTGAATGATCAGAAAGGGTTATACAAAATGCCAAGTGCCAAGTGTTATTATTGTCTTAGTCAGTATCAGGGGAGGGAGTAAGAATGGAGATTTGGGTGGGAGGGAGAGTGGTTAGCTTAGGAATTTAATTGATAGCACTTGCCTAGTAGGTTTAAATTGTTTTTAGTGGCTTTATTGTTACTTTATATGTGGGCGAGGGGGGGACACTGGGATATGGGGGAGGTCTCAGAGAATCCTCGCTGTACCAACACTGGGTGAGGGATCCCAGTAAATGGGGGCAGGGGGAGATGTGGCAGTGGGAGAAGATATTATAATGGAAGGAGACGGAGATATGGATACGCTTGGTCCCCTTCCAATCTTCGTCCCATACTGAGGTATGTTTGTGGCAAGGTGTGGAATGTTTACCCTGCTCTGACACTGATGTTGTGTAACACCAGGTCCATTAATAACATGAACACTGTGATGCAAAGCTCTGTTGCTGAGCAGCAAGTGGATCTGGCGTGCGTGACCGAGACCTGGATTAGGAAGGGTGAAACAGTTGCCTTAAAAGAACTGCCCCCCCCCCCGTTCCTCGGTCCTTCATCAGTCTTGGCCACAAGGGCAGGAGGGAGGGGTGGCGATTCTTATCCATGAGACTTTCCCTTTCAGGGCACTCCCCACACCAAAGGTCTCCGGTGTTGATTGAATTGGTCTGGTGTGGGAAGCCGAGGAGAGTTTAGCTGTCTGGCTGGTATACCGACTGCCTAGCACACCGGAAGACATTCTGCCAGGCCTGTTGGAGGCGGCTGCAGGCTGGGCTTTGGACTTCCCAAGGCTTTTGGTCCTCAGGGACTTCAACATCCATGCTGATGGGGCCTTCTCCAAACAGGCTCTGGACCTAGCATCATCCATCGCCCCCGCTGGGACTCTCCTAGATTGTATCGAGCCCTACACATCAAGCAGGCCACACCCTGGATTTGATCTTTGGAATGGGGATAAATGTTGATTGCCTCGGAAAGGGAGCCATGGTCAGATCACTTTGCCCTGAAAGCCTAAGTACACCCCCCCACCCCTATCTAATGAGCAGATTTATGCTCGCCCACAGGGACGTATGGATCCTATTGGCTTCCAGAACGCTTTGCGGGAACTGTTACCTCCCGGCAATTCATTAGATGAACTGATCAGAGGACTGGAATACCCGGCTCTCTGAAGCCATTGATAAAATCCCCCTTCTCCCGATGCCCTCGTTCCCACCCCAACCTGGCTCCGTGGTATACAATGGCGCTTAGGGGGATGAAGGATGAACTTAAGACAGCTAGAGTGAGTGTGGTGCCATCCTTGTGATGCTGCTGAAAGAGCATCTTATAGGGTATTTATGAACACCCATGAGATGGTGGTGAAAGCTGTGAAGAGGGATTTCTTTGCAGCCTCCACTGCATCCCCTAGCTCTCACCCAGCATAATTATTTTGGGTAATTAGGACCCTAACCTCCCTCTCAGGGAGAACCCAAAATACAAGAAATCTGTCCCTTACCTGTGAGGCATTTGCAAGCTTTTCTGCAGACAAAGTCCTGCCACTCTGCTGTGACCGGCCCCGCCACAGTCGATACAGTAAGGGAACGTGGGGCCACCTTTGGACTCAGTGCCAACCTTCTTGGGCTGACGCGACAGGATCCTGGGGGGCGCGGCCCTGATGGACATTATCAATCTGTTCCTTGATTCTAGGGTCTATCCAGGGTGATTAAAGGAGGCCGTGACAACACCGCTCTTTAAACAGCCAACTTTAGATCTTCTGGATCTGGCCAATTACCACCCAGTTTTGAACCTATCGTTTCTGGGCAAGGTAATTGAGAGAGTGGTGACCAAGCAGCTCAACTGTTTCCTGGAGGAAACATCGGCTCTAGACCAATTCCTGTCCGGTTTCTGCCCCAGCCATGGAACGGAGATGGTGCTGGTCGCCCTCACAGACAATCTCCACAGAGAGCTGGATTGAGATGGGCCAGGGCTGCTATTATTGTTAGATCTGACTGCAGTGTTTACCTGTGGGCCCACCACCTTGCCGATGTAGGGGTTTGTGGAGTAGCCTTAAACTGGTTAACTTCATTTCTCCAGGGTCAGGGACAGAGGATGGCACTGGGAGAGAGGGTGTCACCCTGCCACCTCTTGGTGTACGGGGTTCCCGAAGGGGCAATCCCCTCTCCCATGTTATTTAACATCTATATGTGCCCTCTCACCCAGCTGGTGCGGAGTTTCAGGCTGGGTTGTCACCAGGAACGCTGATGACACCCAGCTATATCTGTTGATGGATGGACAGACAGCTACTGCCACACCTATCTTGGCTGTGGGACTGGGGGCTGTGGCTGGACGGCTGAAGCCGAGCCAGCGGAGACTGAATCCATCAAAGTCCTGTGGCTAGGGGGGCAATCCAAAGTTGGGGTGACAACTTCCTGCACTTGATGGCATGCTACTCACACCAGTGTCAGCTGTCAAGAGCTTGGGCATGCTCCTGGAGTCCTCTCTCTATCAATGGAGGCCCAGGTTGCAAACATCACCCAGCTGGCATTTTCCCAACTCTGCCAGGTCAGGCAGTTGGTCCCCTTCCTCTCTAGCCCAGATCTGGCCACTGAGATTCACACAACGGTCACCTTAAGGCTAGATTACTGCAACTTGTTCTGCACAAGGATACCTTTGAAGCTGATCTGGAAATTACAGCTTGTCCAGAATGCAGCAGTGTGGGTACTCGCAGGCACCCCAATGACATCCCACATTCAGCCTGTGCTTCCCCAGCTGCACCGGCTCCAAGTTGAGTACCGGATCCACTTCAAGGTTTTGGTTCTTACCTTTAAAGCCCTTAATGGTCTGGGACCAATGTGCCTACAGGACCACCTCCCCAGGTATGCCCCCCCCCGAAGAGCTTTATGCTTGGGAGACCAAAATCTACTGGTGATCCCTGGCCCAAAAGACATCCAGCTGTCCTCAACTAGAGCCAGGGCCTTTTCGGCCCTGGCATCAGCCTGGTGGGACTCTACCCAATGACATCAGCGCCCTGCAGGACCTAGTTCAGTTTCACAGGGTGTATAAAACAGAGATGTTCTGCCAGGCCTATGGCTGAGGAAAGCAACGGTTTTCATTCAGATTCTGCCGGAGCCTTCACAATGCCCAGTCTACAATTCACCCTATGGAGGGAGAGGAATTTTTATCTGGATTTTATCTGGAGAATGATATTGTTTTAGCTATAATCTGCCACGTATTCATTTTACTATTTATTGTATTTCTTCAGTCTATTCTAAGTTTGAAATATGATGTACACTGCCCTGAGCCCTTCGGGGGAGGGTGGTCTATACGTTTAATAAATAATAAAGCAATAATAATAAGAATAATATTTAAAGTATCCCTGAGCCTCAGAGATATATAGGGTACAAACAGCAGAACTCCCAGAGCACAGTAATCAGTGAGCTACAGGAAAGTGACTGCTCAGAGTCTTGTATTCCCGAGTGGGCACTCCATGAAATTGCTGAGCGGTCGGGTTAGAACGGATAAAAGGAAGTACTTCTTCACCCAAAGAGTGATTCACACATGGAATTCACAGCCACAGGAGGTGGTGGCGGCTACAAGCATGGATGGCTTCAAAAGGGAATTAGATATGGAGCAGAGGTCCATCAGTGGCTATTAGCCACAAGGTATAGATAGGGGCTCTGGGGCAAATGATGCTCTGTCTTCTTGGTGCTTGGGGGGGGGGCTAACAGTGGGAGGGGGCTTCTAGTGTCCTGGCCCCACTGGTGGACCTCCTGATGGCATCTGGTATTTTTGGCCACTCTGTGACACAGAGTGTTGGACTGGATGGGCCTTTGGCCTGATCCAACATTGGCGCCTCTTATGTTCTTATGAGTTACAGGCTTAACAGAAGATTTTTCTCGATAATAGGAGCGTGCACATGGATTAATATACTTGGCTGCACCTTAATTGCATCTCTATAACGTACCTAGATATTTGTTAACTGTGAACAGTATTTCATGAGCAAATATTTTTGAAAATGCTTCAAGGAAACTTGGAGGGAAGACTAACATTACTGTGAAACTTCAAAATATTAGCAGCTTGACGTATGCCAATAAACAGGCATAAATTTCAGAAACTTTTATTTTATCTGCGACCGCTATCACTGGGAAACATTGGATATCATTGACAGATAACCTGGTAATCGTCCTGTGTATGTGATTTCAAGACAGTTCCTTGTTCTACAAATGAGCTGTCCATGTTCCAGAAATCTACAAATCTCTTTCAAGACACTGTTCATAATGTATATATACTGTAATACTTTTTATCTGAGAGATATTTATCTCTTACCATGCTAAATAATAAAAATATAGAAAATGTGGTAACATTGGTTGAAAATAATGTCCATTTGCATGGTGAGAAGGCAATAGATTTGCTTTAACAGATACATGAAAGAAGTTAAAAACAAGTTATGCTAATAAATGCCCAAGTCACCCATGGACAATCTTTGTACAATGTAAAAAAAAAGTGATCTTATAAATCAGCCAGTTTTTTGTAAGACACTTAATTATACCGAAACGAGGGCAGTTCATCACACCAACGGGAAAGAGGTTCCCCCTCCCTCTCACTTACCGATGTCTGCACCATCATAGCACGATGCTCTCGCATTTTTCGTACAATATCAAGTGGATAAACAGGTTGGTTTCTTTCAATTAAGCACATAGCTGTTTCCATAGCAACCAATACTCCAGTCCGGCCTATTCCAGCACTGCAAGACGCAAGCAACAATGGTGTATTTAAAAAAAAGGCATTTGCTTTGTACTGAATTCTTATTATCACAACCTTGACAGTTCATTACCCCAGAAATCTCTTGAAAATACAAAAAGGGAGACTGAATAGAGCAGAACCCGTTAAATCATTTCAGAAACATGCCCTTTGCACACTTGCAAGGGAAGTAATGCATGAGTGGCATAGGATTTCGCAATTAATGGTTTGAGTTATTCAAAATAAATATTATGCTTAATATTGGTTATTTTGTGGAGCAGCAGAGTAGAACAGAGAGGAAAACCAGTGTAAGACCTAGGTTTCCAGCCTGTCATTCATGTTACAGCCTCTCTTTGAAGTCTTTGTGTTGATGCGTGGTAACTCAAAGGCAACAGACCGGCCTTGGGAGACTGAAATGTCTTCCCAGTTTTAGAATTTCACCATTTTGTGAGTGTCCCTTATTGTCTGAAAAAACTGCAGAAGGATTTTGTTGGTCAGGGATGGCCTATATCATATTGGTAAATGTGTCGGTGAGTCACACACCTTTTAGAAAGGGCAGGAGTCCGCTACAGATCTCTTTCCTGGGGCCCAGAAACCTTGGCACAAGCCCAGTGTAGCGTTAATTTATGGAATTTACTTCCACAAGACATGGTGACAGCCACTAACAATAGCTTTATTTCTTGATTTGCACAATTTATTTTCATCTTTCTGCCCAATCAGGGTTACCAAGGCAGCTAACAATTAAGAACAAAACATTATAGAAATAATATCATAAAACCAATTAGGCAAAAGAGCCCAACTCAATGTGGCCCAACGTCTGCAGGGCTGGTCAAGGCAGGGAGAGCCGGAGGGAGGATGTTAATGAGCAGGAAGAATATTGTGTTAGCCAAAGGATGCTGTTCTATGTATTTTATGCCAAACGTCTTGTCACAACTGTTGGCGGGTAACAGCATGGGGGCCGGATCCATTTATGGAACTTGGCCGGCGTGCCAATTCCTGGATATGGGGACCCTTCATGGGGTCTTGGCACAAGGGATGATGGGGAGCAAGCCTGCTCAAGGACTACCAGTGATATCCCTCATGACCGGATGGCGGGGGAGAACACCAAGGGGGAAGTCGTCCAACAACCCGCCATCCCACGTTTGCGACCCATGCCGGCTGGCTGGGTGACGGACGGTACATCGGCTGGCAGAGGGCCAGCTGATGCACAGGATCCAGCGGGTCCCCTGCTGTGCCAATGTTTCTTACAGCTGTAATAAATAAAGTTGTGGCCAATTTACTCCACATATTTCCCGAATTCTAGTGTGCGCGTAGTTATTTAATGTGGGAGTGGGGTGCCGACGGCGAGACCTCCCCTCCCCCATAGGAGCTGGAGCCTGCGAAATCAAAACTACCGTGATATGTAAAAAAACACACCAAAACTGCAATTAAAACATAGGGCAGGAAAGAGCTTGGAATCATTGAAGGGTGACCAGATGAAACAAGAAAAACACCTTCCCTTGCTGGCAGAAGTCAATGATAGAAGGGGACAGATGAATCTCCCTGGGGAGAATATTCCCTAATTTTGGTGTTACGGCCAAGAAGGCCCTTTCAGAGGTTGCCGCCCATCTTACCTCAGAAGGCAGGTGGGGGAGCATCCAAACCAGGGCCTCTGACCTTAGCAGTATGGGAATAAGCACTCCTTAAGGTATGCTGTTCCCAAACCATATATGGCATTAAAGGTCAACACTGACACCTTGAATTGCACCTGGATACAAATTAGGAGCCACCGTAGATGGCCCAACAATGGAGTGATATAGTCCGTACGACCCACTTCAGTCAACAACCTGACAGCAGCTTTGTGTACCAACTGATGTTTCTGAACACTTTTCAAGGGCAGCCCCACACAGAGCACATGGTCATCAGAAAATGCAAGGCAATGGTGAGATCTTTCCTGCCCAGGAATGGCAACAGGCTAACCAGTCGAAGCTGGCAAAAGGCACTCCTGGGTCACCGCTGTCACCTGCTTACCCAGCTATCGGCCTGGGTTCAGGTCAGGAACACCCCCAAGATACGGACCTGTTATTTCTTCGGGATCCAACCACATCTAGAACTGGGAACACTTTAAATCCCATATCAATCCTTCCACTTACCAGTAGAATTTCCATCTTACTGGGATTCAACTTCAGTTTATTAGCCCACATCTACCCCAAAACTGCCTCCAGGCACTGACTCAGGGTTTTTAGACCTGCTCTAGGATCTACTGGGAAAGTGAAGATGACCTAAAGAGCCTCTTGCTCAGAGTAAAAGAGGAGAGTGCAAAGGTTGGCTTGAAACTCAACATCAAAAAAATTAAGATCATGGCATCCGGCCCTATCACTCCTTGGCAAATAGAAGGAGAAGTTGTGGAAGCAGTGACAGACTTCATGTTCCTGGGATCCAAGATCACTGCAGATGGTAACTGCAGCCATGAAATTAAAAGACACCTGCTCCTTGGGAGGAAACCAATGGCAAACTTTGACAGCATAATTAAAAGTAGAGGCATCACCCTGCCAACAAAAGTCCGCATGGTCAAAGCAATGGTATTCCCAGTAGTACTGTATGGCTGAGAGTTGGACTATAAGGAAGGCTGAGCGCCAAAGAATAGATTCTTTTGAACTATGGTGCTGGAGAAGACTTTTGAGAGTCCCTTGGACTGCAAGAAGATCAAATCAGTCAATCCTAAAAGAAATCAACCCTGACTGTTCCCTGGAAGGCCAGATAATGAAAGTGAAGCTCAAATACTTTGGCCACCAAATGAGAAGGGAGCCCTCACTGGTGAAGACCCTGATGTTGGGAAAAATTGAAGGTCAAAGAAGACGGGGACGGCAAAGGATGAGATGGTTAAACAGTGTTATCGAGGCAACAAGCATGAAATTAAGCAAACTCCGGAACACGACAGAATAAAGGAGGGCCTGGCGTGATGTGGTCCATGGGGTCGTGAAGAGTCGGACTCGACTGTGTGACTGAACAACAACAAAGGATCTACTGGAAGTGTGAAGTGGAGCTGAGTGCCACCTGCATACTGATTTACAACTCAGCCCAAATCTCCAGATGACCTTACCCAGTGGCTTAATGTATATGTTGAAAAACATGGAGAACAAGATGTTCCCCACAGGCCAGCACCACCTCCTGAAATCCACCTTCCAGGTAGGGCTGAAGCCACCATAAAATGGTGTCTCCCACTCCTAGCCCAAAAGGATGGTCCAAAAGAATATCATGATCTACAGTATTGAAAGATGCTGAGAAGTCCAGGACTGGATGAATTCATAAAGGATAAGTGAATCAACAATTCTGAGCCACTTCAGCTAAACGGAATGCCATGCTCATGAACAAGACACCACCAGGATACCACCAAATACTTTGATCTGAGTGACAAATAGCAGAGGACTACCACCTTCATGCCCCCCCACTTGTGAGATTCCAGGGTCATTTGGTTGGATGCTGTTAGAAATTGGGTGCGGAAATCAATAGAGTTTTCACGTGATCTCATGATATGATTTTCTTGTTCTGGTTCAGAATACCACCCCTTCCTTCCCCTCACCCAACACCCTATGCATCATCTTTGCGGTTTCTTTCCCTCCCCTGATATAGGGCTAGGCTAAGCGAGATGCTGGGGAATTTGTAAACAGAGGGAATTAGCAGCTGTACAATGCCCAGGTTAGGATGGGGGGGGGGCATAAAAGGGGGAAAGGATTGTACCCCTGAGCCTTCCAAGCACTTTAGATACTGAATCCTCCCTGCCTTTTTTCTTGGAAGATTAATAGCAACTTGGGTGTTCAGATTCAGTTTTGATGGCAAGAACGACAGTGCAAAAGCTATTCCACCCCTCTCCCTTAAAAAGAAGCTGGGTAGACCTGCTCATGGATGTACCAATGTCTTGCCCAGTTGGGCTCTAACTTCCTATCACTTCAACTACTTCTGAATGTTCCCCAAACAAACCTGAAATAACACGAACAGTTATAATACGCATAAACACACACTCCAGTATTATCATAGAACAGTGGGTCAAGCATTGTCATGTATGGGCCCATGGGGGCCTTTGGGGCGATGCCCCCTCCAGAACTTGCCCTGCTTCCTCCCAGTCCCCGCCCCCTCCTCTCCTGGCTCCTCCTCCCCTCCCCGGGGAGGCAGAGGGAGACTGGGGCTGCTGGTTCGGAGGGGAGTGGCAAGAGCGGCAGCTGCCTCTCTGCCTTCGCAGCCAGAGGAGGATGGCATGAAGGTAGCAGGCTGTGAGCACTGGCTCCTGTCCCATCCTGTGCTGGGCTCTCCTCGCTCGCACTCGGGGCAGGAGCCGCAGAGTCGAGCCGTGACAGGCAATGAAGCGGGCTTGGTGCAGCTCCCCTCAGCTCCCTCGGTGGGGGCGGGTTTGGGACTTCTCCACAGCTGCAGAGAGGAGGGGGCAGCCAGAGAATTTAATACAGTGGGATGTGCATAAAACTGCACTGAAAGTAACTGGATATAAGATGCAAATAAGTCCCCTCCACATGCTTCTTTAAAGGTTATTTGTATGCGATGGCTCAAGTGGTTAAGACGCTGAACTGCAGGCTGTGGAAGGTCAGTAGTTCAGCAGTTCGAGACCCGGGTGCCCGAGTGAGCTCCCATCTCTAGTTCCAGCTCCTGCCAACCTAGCAGTTCGAAAGCAAGAAATTGCAAGTAGATAAATAGGTACCACTACAGTGGGAAGGTAACAGCGTTCCGTGCGCCTTTGTGTTTAGTCATGCTGGCCACATGACCACGGAAACGTCTTCGGACAGCGCTGGCTCTTCAGCTTTGAAACGGAGATGAGCACCGCAACCCTAGAGTCGGACTCGACTGGCTTTCGAGCAAGGGAACCTTTACCTTTACCTATGTGCTATATTCATGGGACAGCAGTGAAGTTCTGGTCCCAGGAGCTCTTGCCTGAAGATACGAACATCCTTGTAAGTTCTGCCTCCTTACCAAAACATTGAAGACCGGTAATTAAATCGGCTCCAGCAATTGAATCAGCTATGTTAATGAAATCAGCCATGCTAAACTGCCCCCTCTTTGCCCTCCCCCAAATTTCTGGCTACGGGGCTGTTCACACACAGCAACAGCTAGTACCTGCAATGAACAAGAACGGGCTCATTTCCCACTCTCTTTGATCTCACGTAGGTCACAAATTCCAAAAAGTCTGTAGAATCATCCGGAACACCATGATCAGGCCAAGCCACATACTGGAGATGAGTGACGGTGTGTTCTTCCTCAGTCTGAAATGCATCAAATGTTTTCACATTTGTTTACACAAGGCATTACGAGCCATAGAAAGATAACTTTCATTTCGGGGATTAGTTACATAATTGCCAGTTCAAACTCACGGGATTCAAAGCCGAAATCTCACAAGAGGTACCATGAGCTGGCTTGTGGCCTATTATTTATAGAATCCATTGTCTGAACCTTTTTCTGTTCTTCAGAGCAGATGTGTCTCAGTCGCTCTGTGTCAATGTAGCCCTGCTGAAAGTACAGCTCTTCTGGGGGTTCTTATCTGAAATGTTTTCTTTGTTCCTCAAAATGATCCTAGAAATACAACTGCTGTAATTCTATGGCTAGTCCCTTCAAGAGTCCAATGATCTTGTTATAATTCAGTTGTTTATCAAGACAGAATAGTGTCACGTACAGATTATTCAGCCCAGGAGGAGTCACCCGTGGCACACTGGGACTCCATTACAAGTCTCTTTCAAAATGCTTTCTCAATATAGTTCACCTCTTAGAATTGACTGCTAGGAGATAAACTTGTAATCAAGCTCTGTAACATTTTCCTTTCTCAGTCCTACAGAAAGTAATCCTTAAAGAAAAAGAATGCTAAATGGTTATTACTGAGTTTATTTGATAATAGCCATCATAACCTTAGCATTCATAGAGCACATTTTAAGTGCTCAAAGCACTTCTCTGTGCACTGAGTTATTTTTATACTCAACGTGGCATATGAGCAACGAAACACAAAATGTTAGCAGCACGTTATAGTTACCTGATGCAACAACAATAAAAAATTGGGGGTGTGTGTGTAAACAATTTGAAAATAGCATGTTCTAATTGAGTTGTTATACCATAATTACAGTAGATCAAATACGAAAGTGAACTGCCCAGCTGTAAGTAACAACCCTTCATCCTAACAGAATAAATATTACTGTATTAAAGAAATGCCCTGTCAAGCAAGTCACCTAGCTGGACTTGCACAGCTGTTTACATCCTAACAAAGGAGCCATTTTCTCCAGATGCTTGGAGATCAGGTGTAATAGCGGGAAATCACCAGCCACCACCTGGAGGTTGGCAACCCTAACTGGGTGGTATGTTTATGGGCAGCAAAGTCAGGAGTTGGGCATTCCTCCCTCTCTCAAACCATAGCCTTGCACATAAGCACTGCAAGCAAATCAGAAGGGCCTTTTTTTCAAACAAATGTGGGATATCTCAGCGAAGCCGTTTGCTTTGTCTCTCGCTTTCGGTTAATAGTCCGGATGCAAAGGCAAACCATGGTTTGCTGCTAAGCGAACAAGGCTTGAAGAAGCCTCAGTCTCATTCATGCCACCTCTCCCCTGCTCCACACAGAGAGCTAATTAATTTGTTTCTCTTTCTGAAGAACCACAAAATTACGGCTTGTGCTTTTGCTCCAAGCTTAGTGTTATAACAGTGTTTTGACATTCCGACTTCTGGATCAAGTGGAAAACACAGTTTGACAGTTGGATGTAATCATACTCTATGGTTGGCTGCAAAACTGTATAATATTAGTCAGCTTTCCAAATATGAGAAGATGAGGAAGGGAGAGCAGGGATCATGCAAGTGCGCTTAAGCTGTTTCAGGGGCTCACCCAAGTGGAAACAAACTATGGATAGCAGTTGTGGCCAAACCATGCTGTTTCCTCTTTTGTGGGTGTGTCAAAATGCACGCGCATGCTGGAGGGTATGGGGGAGGCCATGGAAGCACCTGAGCTCTCTTCCCAATCTCACTGTACACAGAGTTGACAGGAGATATATAGTATGTGAGTGGAGCATTGGTGAACACACGCACAATTAAGAAATGGGGAAAAAATACACAGTTACTCCTTCAAAACCTATTCAGATATAATTCACTACAATGTTAGTGCATTTTGCAACAACAAGAAATATTAGTTGGACATCAACCACTTACTTCAATATTCGTAATAACCATTTCTCGAAACACGTAGGCAATGGTACAATCTTCAGACCGACACTTGACACGGAAGTTGCCATACTCCATGATGTCTGGAGGGTCAGGCCAATAATGATGGCATTTGGTCTAAGACAAGGGGGGGGGATGACATTATATTCTTGTTCTCCATTCAGAAGCATCTACATGGCAATATATTACCTCAGTCATGTCCTTATTTAATACTACTATAAATTGCACATGCCAAGAACAAAGAACAGTGCATCCTTTTTATTAAATTTGTCCTATATAATCATGACAACTAAGTTTTCAATACCAGTTTTGCAGAACCAAGGCTGTGGACCTGCTAGTTTGCCCCCAGTACTGAGGGTGGGCCTAAGCTTGTGAGGTCTCCCCTCACTATGGAGCAAAGCAGGAGATTCTGGGGCAAAATCATGTCTGCTCTATGGATTGTTTAATGCTACCTTAAGGATACTTTTGGCAATTGTTTGCTGGTTATGGTAATCTGAACTATAACAATTTGGGGAGGGGATCATTAATGCAGGTAGAAAAAGGGGCCCACCCTAAACTGGCTGCTTCCACAATAAGAACATGTGGGTTCTCTGATCAGGAGAAAACATAAAATGTATTCTAGCAACTTTAATTTTTGTATCCTTTCTCATGCTTTAATGGACACAGCTAAGTTTGGACAGCTGTCACTAACTAAAATAGACTCGAGGGGAAAATTACTTTAGAAGGTTAACCACTTGCGCTTTTTGTGGGCAATTTCACTCACTAAAGTGATCTGTTAGCTCCTGTTCCTGAGGGAGGCAGTATTCATTATCCTTTGGGATATCCCCTCCCATCCAGTCAGGGGACAGAGCCATCAGATGACTTACTGCTTGTGAAAGAGCTCCCCTATTGCCCAGTCGGGCCTGGGGTGGGTGGGAAAGGGAGACCTAAATCTACATAAAACTGATGAAAACAAAAAAGCGTTGCAATTGGCAAGCAGCAGTACAACAGTATGCTAACAACTCAAGAGACGAAAAGAACTGGGGAGGAAACAGAGAAGAGAAAAACAGGTTGCTTACCTGTAATTGATGATCTTCAAGTGGTCATCCGTGCAGTCACACACTTGGGGTACTGCGCTTGCACTCGACTTGACCTTGGAAGCTTCTAGAGCTGATCTCCAGCCTTTTTGGTGGGCTTTTTCCTCCACTCTGGGGAGAAGGCATTGATTGCACATGCCTGGAGCTGAGCAGAAAGCCGCCACCCACTCAGTTTCTTCCAGCTGGCAGCAGTAAGTCTCATCAACTCAAGGTTAAGTGACAGAGAGATGCCAGCAGTGGGGAAGGCCTGGTGGGTGTCATGGGCGTCAGCGATGGCGTCGGGCCCCTGCCCAAGTTGGCTGTTCAGCCGGAGTTGCCAGCATCACCACAGCTGCAACCTGGCCCCTCTGACACCTCGGGAGTTGACAGCTTGCCGCCGTCAGCACCTGAGTCAGTAACCCCTGCACCTGGTCCTGCAGCAACCAATGAGGCACAGGTGCAAACGAAAAGCCCGCTTGATTCACCTCCATGGGTTGCCCGGCTGAGGGAGCGGCTCCGCAAGGACTTAGCAACCCAGCCCAGCCTGTGACACACTCTGGCAAGGAAGGCAGGCGCTGAGCCCTGAGTAACAACAGGAGCAGCACCACCACTTAGGGAAGCACTGCTGGAGACCTATTGTCAGACTCGGGCTAAGCTATGGTTGAACTGGTCAATGTATTGCAATTGATGACTCCACCTGTTCTATGTCTTTCTGTCTCCCCTCCGCCCTCGCTGTCATTCCTGCGGGTGGAGGAAGGTGTGAATGCAGATGCGTGAATGAGGGGGTAGAATAGACGCCTTTGCTTTTTAACGCCTTTCCCATAACAAGTGTGCCTCTAGGAGGGCCTAGTCTTTAGACAACAACTTTCACAGGGCTAGTTGACTAGAAGCAATTGTGAGAAGGGGGGGGGGTGGATAACGTACCTATGGAATGTAGCGTTTGACTATACCTTGAATTACTTTCACTTTTGTACCCTAGTCTTAGCAAGAACCTCATCCTTGCAGAAATCCAAATCTCTTTCCATGAATAAACTTTTCATGGACTTGTGGACTGAGTTGTGGACTGAGAGTGGAATCACTGGGAACCTGACACCTATATAGCTCCCGTTTGGGAGTGGGCTCTCCGTGGAAGCAACGGGTCGCATTCGTGCCGATCTCACGTCCACCCTCAGCTCCTGTTCTTGGACGTCACTCTTGTTTGGATTCCTCGCTTCCTGACCTCTTGCTTCGGACGACCACTCTCTTGGGCCCTCGACTCAGCTGCTGTTCTGTCTTTTCTGGCTATGACTCCCAGACCAGACTTGACTCCTGCCTCCTGGCCCGGCCCAGCCCAGCCTGTGACAGTGGGCATGTGTGATTGCACAGATGACCACTTGAAGATCATCAGTTACAGCTAAGCACCCGGTTTATCTTCTTTGAGGTCTCTGGGCGGTCCCACACTTGGGTGACTAACGAGCTGGAACTAGGTAGGATGGTGGGTGCTAGCAAGCAGTGCAGACCCATTAACACCAAATAGTCATATGCCCTATTATGTAAACCTTTAGGCTCGTCAAAGGATGCCAAGCAGAAACGGCTTCACTGGAAGATGGCTCAGAGGACAGCTTGGCCAAGGGAGGCATCCTGGCATGCTCTGACGTCCAAGACGTAGTGTGGTGAGAACGTTAAAGGAGTCGGCCAAGTGAAAGTGCTACAGACGTTGTCAATCAGGATGCCAGCCAGGAACACTGTAGAAACAGATACAGCCCTTATGGAGTGAGCCCAGGGGTGCACTGGCAAGGGTTTACCAGCCAATTGGTAACGTAAGTGGATGGTAAAGGATATCCATTTGGATAGCTGATGGGGAGAAATCTTGTGGGAGTAAGAGATGAACAAGTGTGGGTCCACTTGTCCAAATAAAAGGAAAGAGCCCTGAGGACATCCAGAGTATGTAGGGCATGATAAGCATCATCAACAGGGTCTGAGGAAAAGATAGGTAACACAGTCGGTTGTGATAGATGGAAAGAGGGAATAACCCTTGGCAAGAAGGAAGGATCACGGTGTAGAATCATCTTATCCTTATGAAGCACAGCATAGGACACATTGAAGTGGAAAGTGCACAGTTCACTGGCTCTCTTGGCAGACGTAATAGCGACCAGGAGGGTAGTCTTCCATGACAGCATATGGAAAGAGGAGGTCACCATGGGCTTGAATGGTATGCCCATCAGTTTAGCAAACACAAGAGAAAGACTCCAGTCAAGGACCGCTGGTTTCCTTGGAGAATAGAGTTTTAATATGCCTCTGAGAAAGGTTTTCATGGTTCTGTGGGAGAAGAGGGAGTGTCCATCTATTAGGTTGTGGTAGGCTGAAATAACCACTAAGAGCACCTTGATAGAGCAGAAACCAAGGCCAGATTGTTGGAGAGAGACTAAGTAGGACAGAACGTCCAACACAGAAGCTGACTGAGAGTGGATGTTACGAGCAGAAGCATAAATGACAAAACATTTCCACTTCAGTTTGTAAGAACAACGCATGGAAGGCTTCCTTGCATTGAGGAGGATGTTAGTGAGAAGGTCAGGATGAAATCTTCCACACTGTCAGACTGAGGAAATATGGGCTGTGGTGGAGAATTCTGCTACCCTGTTGGAACAACAGTTCTGGAGCTGGAGGAAACCTTCTGTATCGTCCCATGGGGCCACAAGGATGCAAGGCATTTTGTCGAGTAATATCTTCTGCAGGAAGTGTGGGATCAAGGGACATGGGGGGACATGTAGAAGAAAGGTCCTGTCTACCAATGGAGGAAAGCGTCCCCGAGAGACACCCCCCCATTGGTTGACACCTGGTATAGAAAACTGCACATTTGGCATTGAGGATCGATTTCAGGCTACTCATATTGATGGACCACTTGTGCTCAACAGATGACACCTGGTATAGAAAACTGCACATTTGGCATTGAGGATCGATTTCAGGCTACTCATATTGATGGACCACTTGTGTTTGACACAGCTGGTCCAACTCAGGTCGTCTGTTTGTGTGTTCTGTATGCCTGGAACATACAGTCAACGATATTTTGTGCAGCAGGCACCAGTCCCATAGTGTGACAGCCAATCTGCAGAGCTTGGTCGATGCTGTCCCCCTTGCTTGTTTCTATAATACATGGTTGCCACACTGTCGGTGGCAACCTGTACCATTTTGCCCTGCACCAAGGGGCAAAATCACATCAATGCTCTGTGTATTCCAAGAAGTTCTAAGCAGCTGATATGGTATCACTGCTGAACTGCAGACCAGTGACCCTGAATGTGAAGACCCTCACAGTGGGCTCCCCAGCCCCAGAGCAAGGCATCCGTGAAGATGGCAACCTGTGGAACCAGTGGTCTAAAGGGCATGCCATGTAGAAGGTTGTCCAGGGAGGCCGACCACTGGATTGACTGGCTGACACTCTGAGGGATGGTGACAATTGTTGACTGAGATTCCAAAATTGTAATGACGTATGAATCAGGTCTGAAGCAGTCTCGTCCACAACCTTGCCGGGGGGGACCATGAAAGTTGTTGAGGCCATCAGGCCAAGAAGATGCTGAACAGAGCAAGTGGTCTGCGTGGGGCATGCAAGGAACGCTGAAGCAGAGGTCTGGAGTCTTGATGCTCTGTCCATGGGAGGAATGCCCTTTCCTTCACAGCGTTGATCTGTGCCCCAATGAATTGCAAGACTTGGATGGGCCGAAACAATGACTTTTCATAATTTACGCAGAGGCCAGGATTCTCGATCAGCTGCATGGTTGAGCTGATATCCCTGTTGAGTTGTTGAGCAGAGGGTCCACCAGGAACCAATTGTCGATATAAGGGAAGATAGAGACACCCTGCATCCGCAGAGCAGCTGCTACCACCACCATGCATTTTGTGAATACCCTCAGGGCTGTCGAGAGCCCAAAGAAAGGACCCGGTGTTGGTAATGGAGAGGACCAACAGCAAAACAAAGGAATCAGTGATGTTGACGTGGAAGTATGCATCTTTGAGATCTACAGATGCCAGCCACACCTTCGGTGGAATCAGTGGAAGCCCGGCTGAGGGTCACTATGCAAACTTTCATTTTCTTGATGGGATATTTGCCCCCATCTTGCTTTGGAACTATAAAGTATCTGGAGTAATACCCCTGATGGTGGAGAATGTCAGGGATCTGTTCATCCGTTCCCCTGGCAAGGAGGGCTGGGGCAGAGGTGTTGTCACGAAGTGGGGAGTCTGGGGTAGTGAAATAAACTCTATGGTGTTTCCCACCCTGATGATGGTGAGGACACAGGTGTCCGTGGTGTTTCCCACCCTGATGATGGTGAGGTGTCTGATGTTATAGACTCCCAGTTGGTGAGGTAGGGACACAACCTGATTCCAAAGGACGGAGTGACGGTAGGTGGAGTGGCTCCAGCATGGTGGGCAAAGAAGTCAAAGTGATTGCTTAGGGTTTTGGGTAGGCTGCTTGGAATAAGGTGTCTTGGCCTTAGGTTGGTAGGCCATCTTAGAAGGCAGGGAATGTTTCTTCCAACGTTCAGATGACTGGGGGGAGCACTGATGCCTATTATAGGGAGGCTTCCAGTTCTTGGATTTTGACTGCCGATTGGTGGACAACTGAGAAATGCCCAGATTTCTTGCCCTCTTCCTACTATTGTCAACAGAAGCTGGGGTTTTATCTGCTGATTCATGGAACAACCAATCACAGTCAAAAGGCAGATCTTCTATATATCAGGCTATAAAGATTTAGAGCACAGCCAGGCATAATGACGCACAGCCATGGAGGTGACCAATATTCTGGAGAGGCAGGAAACAGTGTGACGGACACTACTTATCTGTTATTTGGACACCCTGCAAATCTCCTGGGCCAGTGGTGTGACTGTGTCCTGATGTTCTGGTGGCAGGTGAGAAATGAGAGAAACCAGTTGGGTTGCTAGATGGACAGTTTATGCAGAGAAGTAGGACAAGTAGGTCTAAAGTTTCAATACCATTGAGATTAGGGAGCAAACCGTTTGGGCAAGAATATCAATTTTTCCACCTTCTTGATCAGGAGGCATCAGATGCCGATTTTGTTTCAACTTTGTGGACGAATGCACTATGACACAGTTGGGTTGTGGACTGGAAAGAAAGAACTTGGCCTCTGTTGACTGAATGTTGTACCATTTAAATAAAGCTTTTGACAGGGTTCCCCATGATGTTCTGATGGGTAAACTAGAGGACTGTGGATTGAACTCTAGGATAGTTAGGTGGATAGGAAACTGGTTGGAGAACTGCACTCAAAGAGTAGTTGTCAATAGCATTTCATCTGAATGGGGAACACAATAGGATGGCTATTGCCTGTTGCCCAAGAGTATTGGCTCCGATGTAGCTGGGGGACCGTTAGTTAATGCGGCATCATTAGTCAGAGGCTGGACATCGGGTGCTGAGGCTTGTTGAGTAGACAGAGTTGAAGTAAATCAGGCCAGTAATGACTACTGGTACTATTGGGGTCAACTCTGGGGTTGGTAGCAGCTTTGAGTGCTTGGAAGGCTTTGATTGCAGATGCTTCGGAATCGAACTCAATGCGCGCTTAGCCAGTTTATCGTTCTTCAGCTTAGAGGATGCCAAAGTGGAGGAGGATTGCCCCACTCCTGGACCACCGGAGAATAGCTCCTTCCATACGCCGCCCGTACGGAGGGGAAAACAGGAGGTAGGGAAGGGAAAGACAAAGATGAAGACTCACGGTTATACAATCAAAATTATGATGATGATGATTTTGTTTTCTAGATGACAAAGACTAGAGGAAAGGTGAGAAAAGGGTTTACTAACGAGGGAAAGGAGGAGGCTATCAATGACTGAGGAGATCAGGCGGTGAGGTGCGAATGGCATGGTGGTTAGAAAGGAACTGAATGGGTGGCGGCTTTCTCCTTGGCTTCAGGCATGGGCAGTTGATGCTTGCTCCCCAAAGTGGAGGAAAAAGCCTGCCAGAAAGGCTGGGGATTAGCTCTAGAAGCTTCCGAGGTCGAGACCAAAGCAGGCACACTACCCCAAGTGTGGGACTGCACAGAGACCACGAAATGTGAGCCATTTTGAGTCCCCACTGGGGGGAAAGGTGGGACATTAGTGAAATAAATTCCAGGAGGCCCCACCCACCACATCTGCCTGCCATTCACAACGAGAAATCAATCCCAGCCTAAGAAAAAGAGGTAGGAGAGTGTCCTTGTGCTTTCCTTAAGAACAAGAATTTATATTAGGAAAACCTCCATTTTATCTGGGGGCAGCATTTATTGTCTCCATGGATGTAGCGCTGTAACCACGGCAGGCAGGCAGGCAGGCAGGCATCCCCAAAGGTCAAGAGTCCATCCTACAGAGGGCCCCTCAGCCAAATGCTGTATGTGCAGAGGCACAGACCTTCTAGCACATGGGCCCCAACCTTTTTGAGCCTGTGGGCAGATTTGAAATTCTGACACAGTACAGCAGGTGATACCTTCAGTCACACAGTGAATATTCTTGAGCTGTGACGGCAGCTGCTGCCAAACCAATGTTTTTAAAAATCTGCACAACCAACCCAATCGCCAGTGGCCAATCAGAAGCCTCGCTGGGCAACCCCCCTCCCCTTCGCCCTATTTCTAAAACACTTGGTGGGTGCCAGGAAAGGTGTTGGCAGGCACCACGTTGGGGACCCCTGTTTCAGCACATAACCAGTACGTGGACTAATGCTCATGTTTTTCACTCCACACATCTTGTGGGGGCGAAAGCCAACCCACGATGGAGCAGGTATAGCCACCCTACTTAGAAGATGAGCTGTGATCCATTCTGATGGCCTCTGATTCAGTGCTCTGTGAACCAACTGAAACATTCCATAAGCTACCTCGGCCCTTTTTGTCTCAAAGCTCTGCCATGAAAGGAGACCAACAAAGCCTCCAATGTCTTGGAATCTACCGTTGAATCTGCATTTGCATTTTAAAATCAGTTTTGTGCTTCTGTGACGCTGTCTTTCTCTATGCTTCTATGAATGTTTGGAGAAGATTCTTTTAAAGCAGGGCAGAGGTGCAATGACAGTGGAGCCGCCCCGAAAGGACAACAAACATATGTGGACGTGCAAAAGTATGCTAGCACTCTTGAGGTGTGAAAACGACACCAAACGTAGACAGCTTTTTTTTGAAGATGGAGTCAAAAGGCTGGGACACCGGGAAAGATAAACGCAGATTCGACCTACGTATCTAAGCTTATTCGAGCTCTGATCTGGAGAGCATGTTAGGTATGAACAGAACAAAGCAGTAATGAATTCCTGGGACTTGCAAAAGACCAAACTTACTTCAGGCATGAAGGAAGAACCTGGCTTAAGGTCTCCATGAAAAATTCATTTCTCTGGATTAGAGGCAAGAGCCTCCAGCTCTGACACCCGTACAGCGAAAGTAAAAACCAGAAGCTTTCGTGGTTACATTAAATGGGGGAAGGGCTTTATCAGGCTCAGAGTGCCCTTGGAAATGTATACCCAGGGCCCTCCTGGACTGTGTAGTTGCATTGTACAAATCAACTGGTGTGTATTTGCAGTCTCCCATTTTCTGAAGACTGTGCCATCTGCTATTCTGTTACTACCGTCAGTATTCTCCTTGTCATATGCTATAAACAAGCACCACAACAGATGTGCCTTGATCTTTTTACTCATGTTAGAAAGCTCAATAAAGTCATGTCTGTTTGCAGATGATAAAATAACACACACACACATGCAAAGAGTACAGTGCGTATAATCATGACTTTCAGCACAAGACTTAGATACTCCGTAAGTCACAATAGGGTTACATTATAAGAACGAGAGTAGGGATCCAAAAAGTGCCGAACAAAAAAAGCAAACCACATTCCTCATCACATGGAACTCTCTCGTCTCACACACACACTCCGCCCCCCCCCCCCCCCCGATTATGGGCCAAAAGCAAGAGAAATCCACCTACCCGTCCTCGTTCTGTGAGGGTTGTCAGCATGATAATCAGTGATAACCTGTGATCCCACACTGCCTGCCAGAAGTGTGCACAGGTGTGTGGAAGAGGACCTTGAGTGGCAATATATTTGTTCACAAGGCCAGCGGGAGGAATTTCCATCTGTCGCGGGAGAGGAAAAAACTGCATGTAACATTGGCTCTTACTAGACAATACTTTGAAAAGTGGTTCACAAATGCAAGGGCAGCAATAATTAGATTATGAAGACCTTTTCAAGTAGTCCTCAAATATCAATCCAAAACACTACATCAAAATTAAAGCAATTCATATGCATGGAAGTGGCCATTCCATTTTAATTCTATTTCTGCATTAATATAAATAAAACCTGAGGGCTCACTTCACATGAAGCAGTGTGCTATGGAAACTGCCTGGAACTGCACTGACGCTGTAGGCCACATGATATGGTGAATGGTCATGTGCAGTAATTTATCATACAGATCTGATCATTCTTGCACCCCGAGAATTATTCAAGTACGGCGGTTGTTGTTGTTTTGCCATCAAGTTGCAGCCACCCCGTAAGGCAAGAGATGCTCAGAGGTGGTTCACCATTGCCTGCCTCTGCGTAGCAACCCTGGACTTCCTTGGTGGTCTCCCAAGTGCTAACCAGGGCTGACCCAGATCAGCTTTTGAGATTTGGTGAGACTGGGCTAACCTCCGCCATCCAGGCAGAGCAGTATTACTACCAAAGCATTCCCTCTAAGCTGAGTTAGTGTGAGCTAGCTCACAGTTCATTAGCCTCCAGCTCACACATTTTTTGTCTCAGCTCAGGAAGGAGGGCTCCAGAGCAAACTTATTTATTCAGGAGCCCAATCGCCCGCTCACAACTTTAATGCCAGTCGCTCACAAAGTAGAATTTTTGCTCACAAGACTCCGCGGCTTAGAGGGAGCATTGAAAGCAACCCAAAATGTTTTGCAATGGCATGAAAAGAAATACCATTACAAAGACCAATCCACATAAGAAAATGCATTATTTATGGGAAAGGATCACTCTCAGGGAAAATTCACTTTTTTTCAGTGGCTGATATGATTATGTCATTCAAGATTTAGGATTTTTTTAAAAAACACACACACATAAAACAGATACACTGTCACAGACTCTCGATTGTTCGACAGTTTTTGACACAGATCAGAATCCAGGTGCCACGTGCAGGCATTTACTCCTTGTGATTGGAATTCTTTTGTAAACAGATCCCCATATGTGGTTTTGGAGGAATTTTCAAAACGAGTACACAATGTATCTGTTTTGCATGCGGCGTGGATCATATATAGTCTGCAAAAACTTGTTACTCAACACTGCAGGCCATGGATCTTGACCCAGGCCACAGTTTTCCCACCCTGTAACTAAGGGCTTGCTGTTCCGTTTTTGTTTTTGATAAAGACGCCAAACCTCTCCTTCCAGGCAGGGGCAAAGCTATAGTAGGGCATTTTGGGGTCACACCTCCTCAGTCTTGAGCTATGCCCCACCACTCACGCCCCTGTGGCACTCAATCCCCGCTATGGCCAAGCAGGCCCTGGAAAGACAGGAAAGCAGCCCCATCGCTCGCCAGTCTGCCTGCCAATTCAGTATTGTTTTAAACCCGCTGGCATGTGTCTCGCCTTTTAAATACTACCACAAATGGCAACTGTGGCCAAAACAAAAATGCTTTGGCTGGTTCTAGTCCCAAATTTTGGAAGAGCCAAATCAGGCAGTTCAGTAGACAAGCCCGTTCATCCACTGATGTAAGAAAAAGCCCCCTGCCATGCCTAGCTCAGCTGGCAAGGTAGGCGGCAGAGAGCCTTCGAAAGTGTTCGGGTGCAGGCGCCGGAAGAAATGGCCTCCTTAAGGTGACTTTAAACTACATACAGATCTTGCGCAACTGGTGGGTGGGGAGGCTGCTCTCACAAGATTCTTAAAGGAGTCTTAATTGAGGGCCCAAACGTAGTCTTGTGCATGTTGAATCATGAAGCCATGGGGCTCCCAGCCTACTAAACCTCACAGACACCTATGTTCCATTTCCCAGCACTTCTGTATCTTTTTTCTTTTTTGCCTGCTTCTTCCATACTGTTGATTCATTGCTGTCTGTATAGTAGCCTTGTTGCAAGAAGGAGGACACAGAGCTCATGTGACACAGGGCCGTTTTTGTTTTAACCTTCCACAAAGACAGAAGAGGGGGAGGAGTCCACAGCATATCTCTCTCTCTCTCGCTCCCCCACCCCCTCTGGCCCCCCTGCTCCCTCTTTCCTCCACCCTTCAGATTTCCCAGCGCCCCTCCAACCAAGGTTTCCTGGCTATGCCCCTATTTCCAGGGATGCAAACGAGGACTGGGCCACATTTGTGGATGCTCAATCGCACTGTATACTAGCCAAGATGTAAAGAAAGGGAAGAAAGCCTACCGGTAATTGTTTCTATAAATGACTATTAATTTCAAGTGATAACATAAACAAACATGGCAGTGAGCCGGTGTGGTGTAGTGGTTAAGAGTGGTGGACTCTAGTCCGGAGAACCGGGTTTGATTCCCCACTCCTCCTCCACATGCAGCCAGCTGGGTGTCCTTGGGCCAGTCACAGTACTCTCAGAACTCTCTCAGCCCCACCTGCCTCACAAGGTGCCTGTTGTGGGGAGAGGAAGGGAAGGTGATTGTAAGCCACTTTGAGACTCCCACCCTACTCTTCAGTGTCAAACTCAAGCTTAATCTTCAAATGTAAGGACAACTCGTTACTTCCAAATAATTTCAAGTTCCCAGAAGATATCTGTATCAGGAGTAAGGAAATTTCTGGCTTTTGCCCTCCTGCCCATCAAAACTGTTGTATGTATGTGAGATTTGAGTTTTGATTCCATTACCAGCTTCATCTTTTAAACATGATATTGCTTTGCTGTGTTACATGATGACTGGATTACTTACATTCACATAATTTGCATTTATATAATCTTCATTTCCTTTTAATATTACTCGGGTAATATCATCTGGTGGAAGGGAAAAAAGAAAAGACACAAAGAGCAGTAAAATTACGTAACTTCACAGTTCTTTAAAAAACCAACAACACTGGATTATCAAGGCCTAAATCAAAGAGGTCGGGTTGGGAAAACAAGCCGCTCCCCAGGATATGCACAACAATACACGTTCATTTTGAAAAATGGTGTAAATGAACAATTCGTTGGCTAACAAGATGGGCCAAAATAAGCAGTATCAGGGTAGCCATTTTCTAATGTATAAAACAGTGCTTGGAAAGTAAAATGAAATTGCACAGAGATAATATAATACTTACAAGGTAAAACATCTTTGTACCGATTTCTGTCCATGTTTTGAGGTAGTTTTGCATAGGTAACAGCTAGCCCTGGCTTCTTTCTATACAGTTGCTGAATCAAAATAAAATATTTTATGAGAACTAATTTAGAAACAACAGGGCACCAAATAAAGGATCTAGTTCAGAACCACTCTAGGTTGGTGGGGTCAGTGCCCAGACATTCTCACCCTGGGAGTAACAGGAAGGCAAAAGGTGAGCTGCAGACATTTTAGGTCTCTCCTAGAACCTTCATACATTTTTATCCTGCCCTTCAGCCAAAAAGCTCAAAGTGATGTCCCTTGTACCCCCCTCTTCCTGGAAGAGAATGACTGGCCCCAGAGGCTACCGCAGTGAGCGTCACTTGGAATTTTGGATCCACTCTGTTCCAGCCCAACACTCTTAATCGCTACCAGTGTTCCCTCTAAGCTGAGTTAGGGTGAGCTAGCTCACAGTTTTATAGCCTCCGGCTCAAACATTTTTGTCTTAACTCACAAAGGATGGCTCTGGAGCAAACTAGTTTATGCAGTACCTAAATCACTCGCTCACAACTTTACTGTCAGTAGCTCACAAAGTAGAATTTTTGCTCCCAAGACTCTACAGCTTAGAGGGAACATTGATTCGCTACATGGACTATTTTTTTAAAATGTTTCTCTATTTGCTTCCTTGTTGGCTATTTCCTTCAAGTGTCAGTTGTTCTCAGTGCCCACCTTGCTCTTTCTCCATAGCACCTCAAGGGCCACCTCATCGTTAGGATGACACAAGTAGCTGCCTTATACTACATCAGACTACTGGTCCATCCAGGTCAGTATTGTCTACTCTGACTGGCAGAGACTCTCCAGGGTCTCAGGAGGAGCTCTTTCCCATCATTCACACATTTTTGTCTCAACTCAGGACAGATGGCTCCGGAGCAAACTCATCGATGCAGCAGCCCAATGGCTCGCTCACAGCTTTAATGCCAGCAGCTCACAGAGTAGAATTTTTGCTCACGAGACTGCACAGCTTAGAGGGAGCGTCGCGCCTGACCCTTCCAACTGGAGATGCCGGAGACTGAGCCTAGGGCCTTTCACATGCCGAGCAGATGGTCACAGCTCCTCCCCAAAGAGTCACTAGGCTGGCTGGCCACTCCTCCCCCCCAGCTAGGCTCTTGCCTCCCTCAGTGCTTGCTTCCAGGCAGAGAAGGCATCAGTGGTCGACTCCTAGATCGATTTGGATCACTCCTGCTCTTACCAAACACCGATCACCTACTGAACTCTGGTTGGTCCCCTATCTGTTGGCAGATGCTAGTCCTGAAACCACTTATTCTGTCACTAAATTTTTAATGGTAGTTTTACCTGTAAAAATCTGGCTTGACTCAACTGTAACAGAATTTGGTATGCACCCAGTCATTGTGATTTAAATGGATATTTAAATGAATTGTAGTTTTATTAATGACTTCTGTTTTAACATTTTAGATCTTTTAGATTTGATTACTTCGACTGTAAACTTTTATTATAAAGTTTGTATTATGGGGCTAATGTATATTCATCTTTTATAATTGAGCTTAAGACCTTTGGTCATAGAAGCTAATAAATATCGCAGGGCTCTTTTTGTAGAAAAAGTCCAGCAGGAACTCATTAGCATAATAGGCCACACCCAACAGCAGAAACCTATAAGCATATTAGGCCACACCCCTGACAACACAGCTTATTAGCATATTAGGCCGCACCCCCATGTTACCAGAAGTGTTGTCATCCAGCCACACCCACCTTTTGCTTCTTATTCTGTTTACCTTGTTTGTTGTCAAGACCAAGGGCTTTTTTTGTAGCAGGAACTCCTTTGCATGTTAGGCCACACACCCCTAATGTAGCCAATCCTAATGAGTTTCT